TCCCACATCTGGCATAGAGCTCCTAAATGCTTGGGATTTCCTAAATGATGAGTGTGATCAAGGTATCTTCAGTCATGTAAATAAGGTGACTTTTGGAAATACCAAGGATGGGGACTTGTCGCCAGAGGGACCAGCCCTGTCTTTAGAGGGTCAGAACCTTGCAGCCCTACCATCCTGACCCCCAGGGAGGGGAGAGGGGCTGGAGGTTGAATCCACTGCCAATGGCCAATGATTTAATCAACTAGGGCTATGTAATGAAGCCTCTATAATAACCCCAAAGGACAGGGTTTTGAGAACTTCTGGGATGGGGAACACATGGAGGTGCCCGGTGGGTGGTGAACTCAGAGAGGGCGTGGGAGCTCCATGCCCTTTACCACAGATCTTGCCCTGTGCACCCCTTTCATCTGGCTATTCCTGAGTAACAGCTTTTTATAATAAACTAGTAACCTAGTAAACAAAATGGAGTGTTTTTTTTTTTTAAATTCTGTGAGCTACCCTAGTAAATTAATTGAACCAGAGAAGGTCCTAGAAACCTCTGATCTATAGCTATTTGGTTAGAAGCACAGGGGACACGCTGAACTAGCAATTGGCTTGTGAAGGGGCTGGGGGAGGTCTTGTAGGACTGAGCCCTCAATCTGTGGGATTTTATGCTATCTCCAGGTAGATAGTGTCAGAATTGAGTTGAATAGTAGGACGCCCTGCTGGTGTTGAGTCATTGCTTGGTGGTGTGGAAAAAACACACACATATCATAATAGAAAAGATTATCACACCAGTTGAACAAATTTCAGTTCAGCAAATTTCAGTCTGGATTACAAAAAGACCTCCATAGATGTAAGGTAAAAGCCATATACGATAACTGAAAATATCAGTTTTACAATTTGCTTTTGCACAATTAAAATAAAGCCAGTTTTCTCATCTCCCTGTGTTTCCTTTCCATATACCATCCACTCCTGATGGATGAGGGAGCATAATACAAGCTGAGGGCTTCTTTTAACGTATTGCTATATTATGTTAAATTATTAGGGATTATATACAAAATATACTATATATCAAAGAAGCAGCACAATATGTAATATCAAGACTCATGTGATTCTGAGGAAATAAATAATTCATTGGTGAAATTCTAATCATACCATTCAAAACTGAAGGAGAAATGAAGACATGGAACAAAAGCTAAGGGGATTTGTTATAAGTGAAGGTCACTATTAGGTAACTATAGGTAATAAAGGTAAATGTAAAAGCCATTTTTAGGGGTGCCTGGGTGGCTCAGTCGGTTAAGCGTCCATCTTCAGCTCAGGTCATGATCTCATGGTTCATGGGTTTGAGCCCTACATCAGGCTCTGTGCTGACAGCTAGCTCAGAGCCTGGAGCCTGTTTCAGATTCTGTATCTCCCTCTCTCTCTGACCCTCCCCTGCTCACGCTCTCTCTCTCTCTCTCTCTCTCTTTTCTCTCTCTCTCTCTCAGAAATAAAACATTGAAAAAATAAATTAAAAAAATTTTTAAAGCCATTTTTATTATATTTGTGTTTTTAAATTATTTTCCTTGGGGCATCTGACTGGCTCAGTGGCTGAGTGTCCAACTCTTGATTTTTGGCTCAGGTCATGATCTCACAGTTGTGGGATCAAGCAGCCCCACATCAGGCCCTGTGCTCAGCATAGAGCCTGCTTATGATTCTCTCCTTCCCACTCTCTCAGTCCCTCCCCCACTTGCATGCACACACACATTCTCACTCTCTTTCTCAAAAAAATTAAAATAAAAATGTTAATTATTTTTCTTATATGATTTAAAAGACAAATACATGAAACAATAATTATAAATGTAAATCAATGGAAATACAATGGACAAAGACATACTGTGTGATGATAACATATAAAGGAAAAGGAATGAAGATCTATAGAAGCAGATTTTTAGATATTACTGAAGGTTGGCTGGTACTAACTGAAACTAGGTAGTCATAAATTTAAGATGTAATTTGTCATTCCCAAAGAAACCACTCAAATAATCCCTAAAAAATAGAAAGAAAAGTAAATGAAAAGGGAATCAGACTGGTTCAGTATTAAAAACTCCATTAAACATTTTTTGAAAAAGCGTTAAAGATAAAAAAGATAGGCTACATACCAAAATTAAACACCAAATGGCAATGGTCAGAACTTTGTTGTCAGTAACTACTTTAAGGGGATTAAACTCTCCAATTAAAAAGCAGACTTTGGGAGAAAGGATTTTAAAAATGGGAATCACATATATGCTGTCTATAAGAAATGCTTTATTTCCCCCCCTTTATTGAGATATACTTGACAAATAACATTGTATAAGTTTAAGGTTTACAACATGATGATTGGATACTTGTGTATATTGTGAAATAATTGCCACAAAAAGGTTAACACATATATCACCTTACATAATTACTTGGGTGGAGTGTGTGTGTGTGTGTGTGTATGTGGTGAAAATATTTATGATCTGTTCTTTAGCAACTTCCAATATTGTTTATAGTACAGTGTTGTTAACTAGGGTCACCATCCTGTACATTAGATCCTCAGAATTAATTTATCTCATAACTGGTGATTTGTACACTTTGATCAACATCTCCCTATTTTCCTCAACCCCCAGTCCCTGGCAATCACCATTCTACTTTCTGTCTCTATGAGTTTGGCTTTTTTAGATTCTACACACACACAAGATCATAGAGTATTTGTGTTTCCTATTCAACTTAGTTCGCAAAGCACAATGCCTTCAAGGTCCATTCATATTGTTGCAAATGGCAGGATTTCCTACTTTTCTGGGGATGAATAATGCTCCATTATATACCACATTTTCTTTATTCATTCATCCATGAGTGGAAACTTACATGACTTCTACCTCTTGAAAATTGTGAATACTGTTGGTATGAACATGCGGGTGGCAGATATCTCTTCAAAATCATAATTTCATTTCCTTTGGATATATACTCAGTAGTGGAATTACTGGATCACATGGTATTTTTACTTTTAGTTTTTTGTGGGGTCTCCATACTGGTTTCGATAGCAGCTATACGAATTTACATTCCCACCAACAGTACACAAGTTTCCCTTTTCTCCACATTCTCAACAACATTTGCTATCTCTTGTGTTTTTGATAAATACCATTCCATCAAGAATGAGGTGATACTTCATTGTGATTTTTATTTGCAGATTTTTTTGTGCATGAACAAATTGTCAGACCCAACTTGTTTACATATTGTTTATTTCCATATATATATAGAATATATATGGAAATATATAGAGAATATATATGGAAATATATATATATATCCCCTGGAATTTCTTAAGATTCTTTTTAATTTTTTTGTTTTCCATTTTTTAAAAGTATAGTTGACATACTATAATATTCAACCTGTATCAGACAGTCCAATTCTCTCTTTCTACATTGCAAATAACATAAACTAAAATGCCAGAAAAATATTTATTTTCTCCATTTTATTGTACCCCAGAGCATGCGACATCTAGATTCTCCTTACTGGCACTCCTCCCTTCTCTTCTGGATCACTCCAGATTCATTTTCAAAATCACAATCATAATGATCTTGTTTTAAACTCATTTTGTGTCACTTGCCTGCTTAAAATCTCCCAGAGGTTTCCAATTGCGCACAGACTAAAATCTGCAATGTAATTTATGGCCTATAACTTCTAAATTAATTAATTCAACACTTCACCTCATTATGGGCCAGCTACATTGGCTTCCTTGTTTAGCTTCAAGGAGTCCAAACCTTTTGATGCCTTAAGGCTATTAATCTCTCCAGATGCCAACCTTTTCCTGAAGGTTGGAAAAGATTCAAAAACTATCTTATGTGAAATATGACCTTCCTCAAGTCACTATTAATATTATATTTTATAATGTGCATGATTTTTAATCTTTAACTTTCTATTTTTTTTAAATTATTATCTTCACTGTTGGTTTTCCACATGAGATAATATTCTATGAGTAATGAGATACTGACTCTTGGAGAGCATTGATTTCCAACAGTTTTAGTAGTGCTTGGCATATAAAAGTTCACAATAAATATTGATCAGATGAATTAATAATGAATGGGGAAATATAGAGGACTAGAATAGATACTGTTCCCTTAGAGACTTTGACTATGTTTTAGGAATCTTATTAGGGGTGCCTGGGTGGCTCAGTTGGTTAAGCATCCAACTTCAGCTAAGGTCAGGATCTCACAGTTTGTAGGTTCGAGCCCCGCATCGGGCTCTGAGCTGACACCTAGCTCAGAGCCTGGATCCTGCTTCAGATTCTGTGTCTCCCTCTCTCTCTGACCCTCCCCTGCTCATGCTGTCTCTCTCTCTCTCTCTCTCTTTCTCAGAAATAAATAAAACATTTTTTAAAAGGGAATCTTATTATTCCTGAGACCGTCATTCAAGTATGAAGACCTCCAACTCAACTTCAGCTCCAATATATTCCTATTTTTGACATCCTTTTTTATGAAGGAGTTTTCTATGTTATAAATTATATTCTGGGAATCTAAATTTCAGAAGTGCAAAGTTCTAACAATGTGGAAATTATCAATACATCTGTGCTACTCTTTAAATGATGTAAATTTAGCATTTGCCAAAACAGATAAATGCCAAGTAGCTATGTTTTTCCTAGCAATAAGATATTGCAAATGTGGCATTTTAACTATCACGCTTTGTAAAATCTAGTGTATTCTCGTGTTATGTCAACTGATTTTGCATAATTTCATTATAAACATTAAATCTGTGTCACTAAAACATGCAGTACCTTTCAAAAATTTTCATTATGCTCTTGATCAGTGTTTTCTAATATTGCCTACATCGAATTCATGTAAATGGACAAAATGATTTTCTAGTGATTATCCAGAGACTTTCATATCTATGCAGACACAAATGAAACCCTAAAACTATAAAGGTAAAAATAGCAACAACCCAAGACTGCATATGTTTCATGATGTTATTTCTTCGTAAAATAAAAAAGAATACAGGATCCCAAAGGACGGTATTTTACTTACCTATCGATCTGCATTTAGGAGGGGTGGACCAGCCACTCTCTGTACATGTGATGTTGCTCTGATTATTTAGAAGGTGGTAGCCCGCACCACAGACAATTTTCACACTGTCACCTTCCTGATGTGTTCGTCCTGAAGATCCAGAATGACCATTTTCCACCCAAGGGAAAAAGCACTGTCCTAAAAACCCAAAAGATGACTAATATAAATCTTGCAGTGAAGGAGTATTTGGCAAGCTTCAAAAGAGAAATCAGGCACAAAAATTCGTTTCTTAAAAATGAGTTCATGAGGGGCACCTGGATGGCTCAATCGGTTGGGCAACTGGCTTCAGCTCAGGTCATGATCTCATGGTTCGTGGGTTCGAGCCCTGCATTGGACTCTGTGCTGACAACTAGCTCAGAGCCTGGAGCCTGTTTCAGATTCTGTGTCTCCCTCTCTCTCTGGCCCTCCCCTGCTCACACTGTCTCTCTCAGAAATAAATAAAACATTAAAAAAAATTTTTTTAAATGAGTTCATGCAAGTTAAAAAGAAAAGAATAATATGTAATGTCATCAATCATCATGTGTATACATAAAATATTCTACACTTGTAAAATTCCATTAGATATCAGAAAAGTTAGTTTTTGTTTCTCATTTGATGGTCTAAATTGCTTTCTGAAGGAGATGACTTTTTATCTCTTTTGCCTCTTTTGCTTTTCTCTTTCATGACTCTGTCTTCTTTACTTCTCTGCTTTTCTCTGTACTCATATAGAGAGTAAGGCAGATATAATTTTAAAAAACAAAGATGTGTGAGGCGCCTAAGTGGCTCAGTTGGTTGAGCATCCAACTTCATTCAGCTCAGGTCATGATCTCACAGTTGGTGAATTCAAGTCCCACGTGGGACTTTGTGCTGTCCACTCAGAGCCTGCTTCAGATTCTGTGTCTCCCTCTATCTATGTTCCTTCCCCACTTGCATTCTGTCTCTGTCTCTCTCTCTCAAAAATAAATAAATATTAAAAAATTTTTTAAAAACCCAAAGATGTGATTAAATGAAAAACACAAAATTGAGGATAATAGTAAACAAAATGCTTCTTGGATATTGGAAGAAACAGCACATTTTGAATCAGATATTACACATAACAATAAACTCTCTTGAGAAAACCTACTACATTCATACAATTACCAATGAGTATGTTTAAATTAAATACTAGCAGTTGACAGTATTGACCACCAGTATTTAAAATGAAAATATTTAGGGGTTCCTGGGTGGCTCAGTTGGTTAAGCCTCCAACTTCGGCTGGGGTCATGATCTCACAGTCTGTGGGTTCGAGCCCCTCATCAGGCTCTGTGGTAATAGCTCAGAGCCTGGAGCCTGCTTTAGATTCTATATCTCCCTCTCTCTTTGCCCCTCTCCCACTTGCTCTCTGTCTCTCAAAATAAAAATAAAAGACATTAAAATAAATAAATAAAATGAAAAGATTTAGATATTCCACAAAAGTTTATATCTTTTTTTTTTCTGATTTGATTTCCACAAACAGCTTCTTATAAAAGGAGGAAACACTATTTTGCCTTTGCTGGTTCTTCTAAACCCTGACTTTATGACTGTCTAAACTCTGTGACCCCTCCCCAGCCCCTTCTCCACTCACTGAACACACTGAATAATTCATCCAGACAAGTCAGGGTATTTACTCACTGATACACTTTGGCGTTGGTGACCATCCTTCCTCTGTGCAGGTTATTTTAGTCCAGAGTGATTGTGAAGGAGATGCAAAGCTGTGATCACACGAGTAGTAGAAATACTTTCCCAGAGCAACTGGGAAGGTTTGTTTATATCTGTCTTCATCATATATGTTTCCATGTTTTATTTCTGGAAAATCACAAGTTCTTCCTTACGAAAAAAAAATAGTATCATACATGAGTAACTCTACTTTAATAATCAATTGAGGAATTTATGATTCCATTTAAATTAATTGTTCCACTTGTATTTGTGATTCAAGAGCTGAGACAATCTATAAGAATACAAAAATATGTGAGGCATTTGGGTTGAGTTCTTCAGAAGTATTTCTGGGATTAAGATCACACAGAAAAAGGTAAACACCGAGGAAGACAATAAAAGTGGGTCTATCCAGCGAGTTTCCCAGGTCTAAGAACTTTGCTCCTGGTGGGACGCTCATACTATCTGTAGTTCTCCATTCACTTCCGGTGTCTCTTCTTCCAAAATCTTCCGCAGATCTACCCTCAGAAATCGTAGCCACTTCCATCCCTCTTCTCCTACTCTAGACAACTCTAGTATCCCAATTACATAGGATATACTAACATACACACATATGAAACTATAATTATAAATTGGGTGTCTTAAATAAGAGAAATTTATTTTCTTGTAATTCCAGAAGCTAGAAGTCCGAGATCAGGTATTAGCAAGGGATGGTTTCTTCTGTGGCATCTCTCCCTGGTTTGTAGGTGGCCTCTTTTCCCTGTATCTTCACATCTTCTTCCCTTTATATGTATGGGTCCTAATTTCCAGTTTTATTAGGTGAGGGCCCACCCGGATAACCCTGACTTAATTTCCTCTTTAAAGACCCTGTCTCTCTTAGGTCCTGGGAGTTGGGATTTCAGCATCGGAATTTTGCAGAAACACAATTCAACCCATGCCACTAAACACACAAAGAGGTATTCTATTGGGACTCCTGGGTGGCTCAGTCCGTTAAACATGAGCTCAGGTCATGATCTCACGGTTCGTGGGTTTGAGCCGGTGTCGGGCTCTGTACTGACAGCTCAGAGCCTGGACCCTGCTTCAGATTCTGTGTCTCCCTCTCTCTCTGACCCTCCCCTGCTCATGCTGTCTCTCTCTCTCTCTCTCAGAAATAAATAAAACATAAATAAAAAAAGATGCATTCTATCTACAAAACAGTGTACTTGCACCAAGCGGGTTCATGTCTCCTTTGAGAAACATTGGTACAACCCAAACTTATAGGGCATTCTTCTTAAAAGCTACTTCCAGAAAAGAGTTCAGTGAATGAGGATAGTTTTAACTGGAAGGGATACTTTGTTGTATTGTTCTTTTTGCTGTTGCTAGGAAAGGAAATTGCCTGAATATAGTCTTAAATAGCATAGAAAATAAATTACTAAAATACCTTCTAGTAAATTCAGGAGTAAAGCATAGTGATTTATGTCCTATTCATAAATACTGTAATGAATTGCCCTAAAGCACATTAGAGATTTCATTTACAATCATCTGGAAATGAGAAGCTTTGATTTTAAAAGAAACTTTAAAAGATATCATAATGATGAATTTGTAAAGATGTTAAGGAAGGAGACAAATGTAGTTATATAAATAAAAATCTTAAAGATTTTTATACACGTAAGAGAAAGCTAGCTATTAGAACTGATACACAAAAAGAAATAGCTCTCTAAAGACAAGTTTAAAAATCTACCAATTATGTTTGTTATAAGTTATAATTTTTAATACATAAGGATTGGATGCAGAGATATAAGCTAGAAAATATATTACTCCAAAGGTGTAAACAAATCAGTGCTACAGTTAGTGCTCTGAAAATTTTTATTTAGCCAATATTTACCAGTGGACTCAGAGATGTAAATTAAAATTTATTGTCTTAATGCTAATTTTGTTGAAATATTAAATTGATCATCATTGCTTATCACAGCTTTATTAACGTATAATTAAAATACAGGAAACTGCATGTATTTGAAATGTCTGATTTAATAAGTTCTTTTGCGTGAGTGACTGGGGATATCAGTTTTCTCCAAATAAAACATCATTTACTTTATTTTACTAAACTACTAGTTTATGACAAATACATATTCTATACTGTAAAGATAGATATTTTTAGGTTTTAAGTAGTTTTAATTAATATGTATATACACATATACTTAAAAACATTAAATATCCACATATTGTGAATAATAACACTGACTTCACTACTTGTTCAAATCCAAAATATTTTAGAATGACTTTACCCCCACCAAAAAGTATCCTTTTGTATTGATAGAAATTGCTATTAAGTGTTGATCATTACTGATTAATTCAGATTTTTAAGTGGTCCTCAATAGTTTATAAATATGACAGATATTTTACTTTCCCTAAATTTAAGCAGTCTTGACCTACGAATTCATGAAACTATCATCATATACAAGATTATGAAGATATCCATTGTTCCCAAAGGTTTTCTTCCATTAAAAATAAGAAACCTTGGGCTGCTTGTGTGGCTCAGTTGGTTATGCATCTGGGACTCTTGATTTCAGTTCAGGTCATAATCTCACAGTTCATGAATTCAAGCCCTGCACAGGGCTCTGCACTGACAGTGTGAAGCCTGCTTGGGATTCTCTATCTCCCTTTCTCTCTGCTCCTCCCCTGCTTGTGGCCTCTCTCTCTTTCTCAAAATAAACAAAAAATAAGTAAATAAATAATAAAAATAAATAAAAATAAGAAACTTCCATAAATTTTGAAGTCAGAATCTCACTCTTCTTGTGACATATTGCCTAAAGTTGTGTGAGCATACTCACAATATTTCCATAATCAGCATTGAGAGTCCTTTTTTCTGTGAAACTTAAGAAACAGAAAAAAGTATTTATTTTCCCCTTAGATAAACATGAGGTAATTTTCCTTAAAAAGTTATCCCATTATGGTATCACAATACTGACCTTTCTATTAGTAAATTCATTAAAAAATACAGACACATGTATGGAAACCAATTTGACAATAAACTATTTGTAAAAAAAAAATACAGACACATGAAACTAGATATGATATGCAGTTACATTTAAGAGGGAAATTCAGTATTCAGATCTTGTTGCAACTTACCTTGTCCAAGAGCACAGGAAACCCGCAAAGTGAGAATGATACTGATTAGTAACAGCATGTTAATTATCTCCAATGATATATCAATACAAATATTCCAGTTGTGCTGTTTGTGGTTTCAAATCCGTTTTATTAGCAGTTATCAAGTGTGATGTATTTAAGTGCACTACCATGAAGCCTGTTCATTGAGGTTACTTAGTAAATATCAAAGTTCAACAGAGTTTGCAAAATCCCTCAATTCCTGTTAGTGGTTTCACAATAATTTCTTGAATTCATTCCCTGATATGTACTTGTACACCTTTCTTTAGGGACAGTAATAGGTTAGCTCCAAAAGTGATAAAACACACTAAACTTTAAACTCCTATTGAAAATCGGTAAGGCTCTTTCTCAACCAGATGAAACATATGCAAATAACTGAATCTCTGTCATTGTATTTTTCTCTTACTCTTTACTTATGTTCATTACTTCATTACTCAGTGGTCTATGAAAACCAGTGTATATATTTGGACCTTATTCCATTATCTGTATATTCTTATGCTTAAGAAAACACTGCTTGATTCTTAAACTCACAGATTACACTACAGAGTGCAAGAGTTTCAGCATATTCTTGGCATTTAAATATCCTTTAACTAACATGTTTTAGGGCACGTTTTATTTTAGGGGTACAATATATTCAGAGGCATGCAGTGATTTCCCTCTTGTTTTAGGAATATAACTTAAACGCCCGCACAGCTGTCCTTTCACTGATTTATTAAATGCATTTGTTCAAATTTTTTTCAGACATACAGGCATATTTACATATTTGTAGCTAATTATATTTGTCATCTTCTAAGGTACAATTACTTAATATAAGAGCATTGTTTTCAAGCAGATAATTAATATGGAAAACATATTATTACTATAAAGGAGGAGAAAATAAATCAGTCATCACTGTGACTTTTAATGCATTGAAATTTGTTTATTTTCTTACTATAACTACATAGTTTTAAAATAGTAAAAAATTTAGTAATATATACAACTAATACTTCCAGAAGAGCAAAATAGCTTATATTAAAGTGAACCTAGGGGCACCTGGGTGGCTCAGTTGGTTAATCATCCCACTTTTGGTTTTGGCTCAGGTCATGATCTTGCGGTTTGTGAGTTCAAGCCCCACATCAGGCTCCATCCTGACAATGTGAAGCCTGCTTGGGATTCTGTCTCCCTCTCTCTCTCTTCCCCTCCTCTACTCTCTCTGTCTCTCACTCTTTCAAAAATAAATAAATAAATAAATAAATAAATAAAATAATATTTAAAAATAACAAACTGAACCTCCTACAAATAACAAGTATAAACACAAATTACAAAAATGAACTGCTTGAGTTTCTGCAAGCAGAAAGTGAAAAGTGTCCAATATTTGAAAGAATAGAATGAAACTGTGAGATCCATCTTTGTCTATTTTATGAATTAAGAAACACCTACATCCATATGGTGTGTGGATGATAGAACTCAGGCAGAAAGCAGGAGTCTCTTGCACAATTTAGGGATCTGAGTATGGGCCTGGCAGACCCTCTGCCAGGTGAGAAAGGCCTGGAGCCTCATCAGTGAAACCCCCTATTAATCTCCATATGTCCTCTTAAATTATTTCCTAATCAATATAAGCCTGCATGGGGCAGAACTGCCAGACCAGTGGGAAGAAACTGCTGCAAGGCTGAAAACTTTGAAAAATTCAGGTAGTAATGAGTGTGGAAGAGAACAGGTTTGGAGTTCCAGGCCAGCATAGCTTATTAAAGTCTTCACATTCTGCTTGAACCAGACAGATACATCTCAGGAGTAAATACTCTGTCCCAGGAGTTGACTGAGGACTATATCCTTGTATTAAGGCAACACTGAAATAGATCAATTTAAAAAAAAAAACTGAAAACCAAGATTACTGAAAAGGATTACAGTTTTCCACCAGGAACATAACTTCTGTTTTGTATTCTTTTATTAGACAGTCAGCCAGATATGATGGCCGTAAAAGGAGACGGAGGATAGCTTTAGGAAAAAACAAAGTTTATTATACTCACAAGTCCAAGAAGGCAGTCAGAAGATAGGGATGAGGGGAAGGTTTGGGGGCCAGATAGAAAAGGTATGGCTCTGAATTGGTTAGATCAAAGACAGGCTCCTGTCGGGGTTCTTTGGTATCTCTAAGATTTAGTAGTCTCTCCTCAGTCAGAAGGTTTTGTAAGATATCAAACCATCATAACATATAGAAAATTTAAAAAATTTACAATGGAACTTCTACTAGAAGAAAAATCTATATTATTCAGAGGTAAATACCAGAATCTATAAATCTCTACAGTGTTTGTAGGTGATGTTCCTTGTAGACTAAAAACGTACTGGACATGCAAAGAAGCAGAAAATATGCAGAATAGTCAGAGGAGGAAATGAACTACCAAAAGAAACACACCTAAAGGCAAAGAGTATGTGAGAATAAATAAGATAAACATAACTTTTCAATGACTATCAAATAGAAGTTAAGGAACTTACAGGGAAAGTTATATATAATGGGTTAAGAAATGTTGACTTTCAGAATAGAGGCAGACAGTTTCTAAGAAAGTACCAAATGTGAATCCTAGAATTAAAAATATAATATTCATAAAAACTAGAAAAATAAGAACAGAATGAGAAATGTGAAAGAAGAAATAAATGGACTTCAAAGTAAGCTAATAAAAATTATCTGAAATAAATATGTTAAAAATTAAAATGAGAATAAAAAGATTAAAGACTCAGTGATCCGTGGGGCAGTATCATGTGATCAAACAGGAAGACAGAAAGTTCAGGGCAGACCAATTTGAAAAATTATGGACAGCAATCTTCCAAATGTTATTAAAGACATGAAGCCATGGAACCAAGAAGCTCAGCTCACATCAAGAATGACAAATACACAGAAAACCATAACTTAAAAAATACCAAAACTGTTAAAAATAAACATGAAAAAGAAAAATTTGAAAGCACCTAGAAAAAAAAACGGAGAAAGAACATACATAGACAATGACAATCCACAGACAGAGCTAATATTGTCAACAGACCACTCGTCAAAAACTAGGGGCTAGAAACCTATAGAATTACGTCTTTAAAGTATTAAACACACAAAAAATCAAGTGTTAAACATACCCCGCACATGTGCATGTGCGCACACACATGTACACATTGTCAAATAAGAACACAATACCCATCAGAAACATTCTTCAAAAACAAAAGTGAAATAAACACCTTTTCAGATTATTTCAGAGAATTTGTTGCAAATTATCCATGCTACAAGTAATATGAAAAGAAATTATTCCAGAGAAATAAAACTGATGTTAGTTGGACATGGGGACCCCAGAAAAGAGTGAAGACCCTGAAAACGATCATGCCAGGAGTGCCACTTGATTTGGTGCAGTATGAAGTAACAAGATATCACCTTAAGATATTTTTACCTTAATTATTTATACCCTTGTCTTCATATTTTTGTTGACACTTCAAATGTTTATAGTCAACTGATTTTAACTCTTTGAATGTTTCCAAAACCCTATCTACCATTTGAAAAATGATCATTAGATTTGAAGATCATTACCAAAAAGGCTTTCATAGTTTTCAACATGTATTATCTTAGTTTTTAATATATGTTTATTCTAAAATAATATATTCTTGTGGTCCAAAAGTGATATACGGTAAAGGCAGAAAAAAATGGAGGATACTGTTAAGTATTAAGGGGTTAAATACCAACTCTGACCATTGGTATTTCTAACTATAGTTATTATAAATATTCCATTGTACTTCTGCTGACATTGGTTCTATAAACATTTATTCAGTGTTCAAAGCATAGTGTATGTATGTGTGTATGTTTACACTTGATATTGGATTTTTTGTCACTTTTCATGTGCTGTAATGATAATTACGTACCCAATCAGATTCTAATTTCTTTTTATGATTTGTTTTAATTTTTATGTGTGCTAGATAGCCCTCTGTAAGAGATTGTGCATTTCATCATTTTTTGGTGTATAGATATCTATTGAAAAATAAGCAAAAGTTAAGTGATAACTGCTTACATCTCATTGCTAACACAGGTATGACATAGTTCGGTGTTTTGGAAGTGATGTTATTTTGGAATGGAGAAAAGCATTTTCTTCCATTTCCTCTGAAATAGTTTCAGGAAGCCTCAGAAGTTATGGAGGGAGCTTTGAGAAAGTTGGGAGGAAAATGGATAGAGAAGCGGGCACTGAAAGTGATAGAACCCAATTTCTTACCGTACATATTTTATGAATAAGACACATAGTATTTTGGTTTGCCAACTTTTAATGTGGTGCTTTTAAGAAGTGATTCATTTTTCTCTTAGATTATAATTATACTATCCACATGTTTTAAACACGTATTCTGATTTATGAATAAAAATTATTAAAGCTTGAAAAAATAAACTGAGAATTGAATTAACCATGAAAAATTCTGAATAAGTGTACATATTTTAATATTAGGACTACATTTTAGCCATTGGTTTGTACACAAACAGGATACGTCAGTCTCCCTTCCCAACAGGCTTCTTGGAATGTATGAAGTGACATCTGTCTACAATATCGAAGTTGACACACACATTCAACAGTATCCCCTGGGTTAGCATAAATTTGATTCCTAAAACTCCATCGTAACCATATGCTATGTTTTTCCAAGATTTCATCTGATATAACACATATACCTGAAAGTACAAAAGAATGAACATAAAACATTAAGTAGTAAATAAATATTTTCCACAGAATGTCAGACTTTCAAGTGCATTCTTCCATGCTGGCTCAGGGCTTCATCCTGAACATACTGCAAAATCCAACATAAGAGACTGTGAAAGATGTAGACAAGAAGTCAGTCTTTCGAGGACCTCAGAATTCAAAGAATCACACTGCAGTGAGTTATTTGGGTTTTTACTGTGCCTTCTGTGTATCCTAGACTGGGCACTGAAGAAGAGTGTAAGCCAGAAATGATATCAAGTTCAGGCAAAAAAAAAAAAAAAAAAGGTTCCAAGAATTTCCTTTATCTCTTTAGACAATGGCTCAGGAAAAGAGCAACTTAGCAAGGTAAGCATTTTTTATAATACTTAAATTACTTCAGAAAAACATCAGAGAAAAAAACCTAAGACCACCTCTCTCCCCATCTGGATCCAAAGACCAAGTGAAGAGCGTGGACTTCCACCCTGCCTGGTTGTAATGGGGATATCTTCTGAGGATATCTTGTAACCACGTTCACAAATATAACTTAATTTAGTGCCATGTGCATAAAGCCTGGTTTCAAGTGTTCCTTTAATGAGTCCATTTTCTACATGAGGTGGTTGAGAACGTGGAATTTTCTCTGTATGAAGAAGAGAGAACAAAGAGTCAGGCGCAAATATAATGTTTACATTGAAAAATACAAACAAATACTGCCTGGGGATTTTAAAATATGGATAATTTGAACAAATTAAATTATTTAAAACTGAAAATATTTGAAACTTGCGAGGATATATGTCTCCCTAATATCTATGCTACTCTCCGCTTGTTCAATATGCCCCTTCATTCTTGTCTTGTTCATCGTAAGGAGTAAAATAGGCAGAAATAGAATTCTTATCCCATATTTACAGAGTAACCCATAAGTTTTGTCTGTGTTTATTTCACAGAAGTGAAAGAACAGTGACTGACTTACTTAGATTGTAATTTACTGTATCAAGATAAAGTGGAATATAGAGAAAGGCTTCATCTTGTTCATTTATACAAAGCACAGGGGAGTGCTAACCTCATTTCAAAGAACATCATAAAGTAAATTATGCGCTACTGACCAACACAGCGTGGTATTGACTGCCATCTTCCATCTTTATACACAATTTCTACTGTGTCACGGATTACATAATTTTCTTGACACAGAACAGACATTTTTTCTCTATCATGGTAATTCACTGTAGTTGTCATATCTCGAGCATTGGGAATCTGAGGTGAAGGTGGTCATGACTGCATTTGTAGCTCTAAAAGCATTAAAATTAGATTTCTTGAATAAAAATCAGAACTTAAAAATATCAAGAGGATGATGTAGCAGAAAACAAAATGAGGTATCATAAATGGTCAAATAATAATGGCATGCTCTGGATTTAAATATGTTATACTCTTTGATACTTCAGTGTATCACATTTGGCTTATTCTCATGGTTTTCTTTATTGTTTCTTCCTTTTATTCTTTCTGTGATCATAATTTATATAAGACCTCTTTTAATTATTTCTAACTATTAAGATGTTCTAGCTAAATTACTCAGGATCAGGCACTAAATAAAGGTTTTCTGTGAATACACACCAGGAAGTGTATACTCTAAATCCTTTCAACTGTCCACATTTTACATTTAATTCAGGGAAATATTTGAGCAAACTTTATTCAAGCTATTAATGTCAGATTTTCTACTTCTAAGCTGATATGAGTATTGTATATTTCATAAGAAATTTTTTTTGCTATATTTATTTTTTTTAATTTTTTTTTAATTTTTATTCAGGTTTTGAGAGACAGAGAGAGACAGAGCATGAGCGGGTGAGGGGCAGAGAAAGGAAGACACAGAATCCAAAGCAGGCTCCAGGCTCCGATCTGTCAGCACAGAGCCTGATGTGGGGCTCGAACTCACAAACAGTGAGATCGTGACCCGAGCCGAAGTCGGACACTCAACCGACTGAGCCACCCAGGCGCCCCTCCTCTTGATAAGTCTTGCCAGAGGTTGAATTTAGCTGAATTTTATCATGATATCACCTAATTGTGCACACTACATATACTTGTTCTTTATACAACCATACCACAATAAAACTATTATAAAAAGAAAAACGATTAGAAAACACAAACATTTGGAAATTAAACAACAAACTTCTGAATAACTGACATGTCAAAGAAGAAATCAGAAGAATATTAGAAAGAAAATATCTTACATCGAATTTAATAAAAAATAAAATGCATATAAAAATTTTCAAGACACGGCTATAATAGTACTTAGAAAGCAAAATGTAGTTGTAAAGTTTATATTTTAAAAATAGGATGGTTTAAGCCCATGTTTTTAATTTCTACCTTAAGAAATGAGAAAAAGAGGGGCATCTAGTGGCTCAGTCAGTTAGACATCCAACTTTTAAATTTTTTAATGTTTTAGTTATTTCTAAGAGAGAGAGAGAGGCAGCATAAGCAGGAGAGGGTCAGAGAGAGAGGGAGAAACAGAATCCAAAGCAGGCTCCAGGCTCTGAGCTAGCTGTCAGCACAAAGCCGGACACAGGGCTTGAACCCATGAACCGTGAGATCATGATTTGAGCCGAAGTCAGATGCTCAACCACTGAGCCACCCAGGTGCCCCAGGCATCCAACTCCTGATTTTGGCTAAGGTTATGATCTCACAATTTCATGGGTTCGAGTCTTACATCCAGCTCTGCACACTGACAGCATGCAACCTGCTTGGGATTCTTCCTCTCTCTGCCCTTCCCCACTCGTGCCTTCTCTGTCTCTCTCAAAATAAATAAATAAGCTTAAAAAAAGAAATATGAAAAAGTAAAATTAAAATCAAAGTAATTACAAGAAAGAAAACAAATCAGTGGAAGAGAGAAAACAAAGAAAATGGAGAAAGACATGTAAAAAAGAAGAGAGAAAATGAATAAAGCAAAAATAATGAATGTTAGTAAATCTAAAAAAAATAGAAAAAAGAAAATGGAGAAAATTAAGAGTATTTAAATTGGTTATTTAAAAATACCTAGAAAGAGTGATCTAGATAAAAGACAAACAAATATCAATATCAAGAATGAAAAAAGTGTTATCATCACAGATACTATAGAATTAAAAGGAAGATGGAATATTGGCTATGAGAACAACTGTATACTAACCAATTTGATAAATTAAATAGTGAAAAAATGGTGATTTTTTTGAAAAAACAACTTGTTCACACTGACAAAAGACTATTAATATAGAAAATCTGAATAGCCCCTACCACCTATGGAAGAAATTAAATTTTCTATCAAAAAAAATTTTTTTTAAACCCCATCTGTATATCAGGTGACTTCATAGGTGAATTTTATCAGTTACTTAAGGGAAAAAGAGTACAATAATAATATGTGTAATAATATTGCACATGTACCTTCAGAACAATAGAGGGTTACAGAACACTTCTCAGCTAGATTGCTGAGTCTATAATATCCCTGACAACAAAACCTGGCAGAGACATTACAAGAAAACATAACTGTAGATTAATATCCCACATGAACACAGATGTAAAAAAAATCTTAAAAATATATCAGCAAATTTAGTACATGAAAATATATCACTAACCGAGTTGACTTAAGAAATGAGAGATTTAGGGGCACCTGGGTGGCTCAGTCAGTTGAGCATCCAAATATGGCTCAGGTCATGATCTCAGGATCCATGGGTTCGAGCCCTGCACCGGGCTCTGTGCTGACAGCTCAGAGCTTGGAGCCTCCCTCTGATTCTGTGTCTCCATCTCTCTCTGCTCCTCCCCTGTTTGTGCTCTGTCTCTCTCTGCCTCTCACAAATAAATAAACATTTAAAAAATTTAAAAAAAGAAATGAGAGATTTAGGGGCATCTGGGTGGCTAAGTCAGTGTGACCTCGGCTTAGGTCATGATCGTGGTACATGAGTTTGAGCCCTGAGTTGGGCCCTGTGTTGACAGCTCAGAGCCTGGATCCTGCTTTGGATTCTATGTCTCCCCATCTCTCTTCCCCTCCCCTCCTACAGTCTGTCCCTCTCTCAAAAATAAATAAACATTAAAATAAATAAATAAATAAATAAATAATTTATTCAACATTTAAAAACTTATATATGCAATTCATTATAATAACAGAATTAAGAAAGCCATATTATCATGTTAATAGTACATCAAAAGCACTTGAAACATCAGTGGTTGATGATAAAATTGACTCAGCTAAGTAGGAATAGGAAATAATTCCTTTGATCCAATAAAGGATATCTATAAAAATCCTAAGCTGACATTATCATTGTGATAAAATGTTAAATGCCCTCTCCCAGTGGTCAGGATTAAGGGAAAGATGTTTGTTCCTTTAAACAGTTTATTTAAGGTCCTAGCCAATGCAATAAGAAAATAAACAAAAAGTAAAAATAAGAACAGACTCTGACAGATAAAATCTTGTATTTGCAATGATATAACTGCTGATAGAAAATTGTAACAGATCTAAAAACAAAAATTGTAATAGATCTATAAAGTGATACATAAAATGAGGCAACTTAATATAGTTTCAAACTAAAAATCAATAAAATTAAATGCATTTCTTTATATTTGCAGTAAAACTGGAAAATATAATTTTGAAAAATTGCATTTATAGCATAAAAATATGAAATAGGAATCTTTTTTTATAACCATAAAACTTCTACACTTAAAACTTTATTGGGAAAATGGAAGCAGAAAAAATAATTGAAGAGATCTAGTATGTTTATGGATTGAATACTCAATATGATTAAGATGATAATATTCCCTAATTTATTTTTCATTATACAAACCATCCATTTGATTATACAAGCAGATATCTTATAGAAATTTATAAGCTTTCCTTGAAATTTTTATGGAAAGGAAAAGGCAAGAATAAGTAAAGCAATTTTGAATAGCAAGAATATATTAGCACAAATCAGACTTCAAGACTTATAAACTATAGTCACCAAGGCAATGGGGCAGGAATAAAGATAGATAAATAGATACATAGGCTGAGTAAAGCGTCTAGAAGTAGATCAATACTTACATAGGTAACTGATTTTCATTTCAAAGTCTTTTCCACACAATTGCTAGAACAATTGCTACCTGTATTTTTAAAAAATCAACCCCTATTTTATACCAAGCTCAAAAATTAATATAATATGGATGATATACCTAAATATAAATGCTAAAACTATAAAGCTTCTAGAAGAAAATGTAGAGCATATATGCTTCATTCCATGTAAATATTTCTTATTTCCTTTTACAAGAGAACGAAAAATATGTTGAACCATAGATAGTAGATTGGGTTTTGATATTGATGTGATGCCACTTTCCATGTATTCTAGGCTTGGGGAAATTGGTTAAAATAATTGAGAATAGTAAGTTAAGGTGTCCTACTGACAGAGAAGAGAGATACAAATACGAAAAGTGGAAAAATGGAATAAGGCCTGATCTATTCAATAGGAATTGGTGGTGTTAATAGGATGTAGAGGTTTCAAGACAGATAAACACATAAATAAACAGGTGACAAGAGAGATGCCTTCATCCATAAATAGATACATACTTATATGAATACACTAATAGATATATTGACAGGTACGTAGATACATACTAGTTGTAAGCAGAGGCATAGGTACCTTTGTGTGTAATAAAGGGAGTTAAGAGCAATGGTATTCCAATAGTAATTAGTACACCTACTGCCCAGATGTTAATTTAAAGCCAGGTTTGTAGGTGGTATGTTACACAGCTAACTAATACAGTAATGATACAATAATATTAATACAACAATGATACAATGAATATTTAGAAGCAGTGCTTCCGCTATTTTTAAAATTACCTTCCAGCTTGAAAATTGTAATAATAAATAGCTAATTTTTTAAGGCACAAAGATCATTCTTTTACAAGTTAGAAAGAAATCAAATAAATTCTTTAAAACATTATAAATAAGAGCTTACCTGTGCAGGTTATTTCAGGCTCCCACCTTCCATTTACGCAGATCAAGTGCTTGTAGTCTGATCTTCCTCTACATTTGTAATGCATATTGGTATTATGATCAAATTCAATCACCTCATATGAAAACAACTGTGATGATTTACACTTCTTAAGTTCATTTGTTGCTATAAAATTAAAATATTCCCTTGACAAGACTAATCATAAAAATCAAAACTACTACATAAAAAATAGCAATAGAGTCAATAGTCTATTTTATGCTCACAAATCCCACCAAGTCATCCTGATCATATTGCATGAAATGGGCTTGTCAAAAAGACGGAAATAACAAGTGTTGGTGAGGATGTGGAGAAAAGGGAACACTTGTGCATTGTTGGTGGGAATGTAAATTTGTGCGGCCACTTCGGAAAACAGTATGGAAGAGCCTCAAAAAATTAAAAATAGAACTACCGTATGATCTAGCAATTTCACTTCTAAGTATTTATCTGAAAAAAAAAATGAAAACACTAACTTGAAAAGGCATATGCACCCCATATTTATTGCAGCATTATTTACAATAGGCAAGATATGGAAGCCATCTAAATGTCCATTGGCACATGAATAAAGATGTGGCATATAAATAAAATGGAATATTTATTCAGTCATAAAAAACAATAAAATCTTGCCATTTACACCAACATGGATAGACCTTAGGGAGTTATGATAAGAAAAATAAGTCAGACAGATAAATACCATATTATTTACTTATATTTGGAATCTAAAAAACAAATTGAAAAACTCATGTATATAAAGAACAAATTGGTAATTGCCAGAGGCAGGGGTAGAGTTGGGTGAAATGGGCGAAGGGAATCAAAAGATACAAACTTCCAGTTATAAAATAAATAAGTCATGGGGATGTAACAGCATAGTGACTATAGTTAATAATACTGTGCTGTATATTTATAAGTTGCTGAGAAGTAGATCTTGAAAATTCTCATCACAAGAAAAAACTATCTATAACTGTATATGGTGATAGATGTTAGATTTAGTGTGATCATTTCACAATGTATACAAATATCACATCATTATGTTGTACACCTAAAATGAACATAATGCTGTATGTCAATTATAAATATATATACATATGAAAATTAAAATCGACCTTAGAAAAGAAATTGGTTATTTAAAGTCATGAACTGTTTTCTGTACATGCTCTTAGAATCTTTGAGAAGCTATTTTTTTACACCTAACCATCCTATAATCCAATAATATTATAATGTCATAATAATAAATTTTTGCTAGCTTCAATATGTTACATATAGACTATAGAAGCTTTTTATATAGCTATATATTTCAATAATTCAGTTAAGAATGGGAGTCCTTTTTGAAGTTGATAAATCTCTTCATAGGTCTTTGCTAGTATTTGTTGTTTAAATTAACAAGATGAAGGAGGCAAACTCAAATAAATTGGCCAAAGAAAAGATTTTGAAATGCAACCTTAAGAAAAAATGAACAAAAAGGAGTCTAATTTAAAACAAACTAGAGGCTCCAGTCTTAGTCCTATTTTTAGAATTGGTCCCAAGTGTTGACGGAGATAAAACAAGGTATTCTTCAAGAGATAGTAACTGAAGAAAGATCTGTAATCAAAAGGAGTGGGGGTGGTTGTTATCATGTCCAATTTTCAAAAGGATTTCTTTGTTCGTGAGGAGAAAATAAACCTATGGAGAAAAGTGAAAGGAAGAGTGGAGGTACAGAATAAACACTGAGAGAGGAAAACTGGAGTAAAATCTAAGGTAGCTGGAAATGTTACATTAAATGTAATATAGGCAGAGGATTCACATTAAGGAAAACTCTGAGACCAGAGCAGAGTAATCATTGAAGCAGATGTTTTGATGTTAAGTTATAATGAAAAGATGAGAGTTTTCATGCCTGATCTCACCTTTGGTTTTTTCCCACAAATGACAGAAATGAGGTGAGATCATTTGTGGCACTAGGAGAGCACTAACATGAAGTTGGTCTTCGGGGACTGGCAGTACCTTTGACAGGAATGTATTTAGCAACGATGTTTAATAAGCAACAAAATTTATTGATCTATTTAACAAACTCCTGTTGAGTGCCTTCTCTATGCCAGCCAGTCTTCTGAGTATTGGGAATAAATCAGTGAAGTATGAAACCCTGTTGTCATGGAGATTGACTCCCAGCTGTATCTTCTCTTGGGATTAATTAATGCCTAGAAATTGGCTGAATAAATAAGACTAGACATCCTGGTTTCTCTTTGAACGTAGAACCCAGAGAAACTCTTGGAAAGAACTCATCCAAAGGGTAAAGTGAAAGGAGGCCCCCAAGGTTCTTCAAATTTGTCCTCAGAGTGCAGAATGATTCACTTATAGTATCTGAATTTTTTCTTGGCCCAATCTCCCTTGCCTCCTGTGACTGAGTTATACTACCGACTGCCCACCCTCCAGCACATGAGTTTCTTTTGCTGCATTTGAAACTGCCTGAGTAATCACCAATGTTAGAAAACTTGAGAGAGGCAAGATTCCTCTGGGAGTATAGCTGGTGGTTTTCTGTCAACTTATTTCCTTGTTTTCCAGGGCCTGAAAGAAGAAGTGCCGTATAAGAACAAACAAACAAAAAAAACCATTTATGTAAAGATAGTTATAAATTTGCAGGTTTTATATATATACCTGCAAGTATAAGTAAAGAAGTAAAGTCAGTATCAGGGACAGGGAGAGTCATAAAATCCAATTGCTAGTTTATATTTTTCCCCTGTTGGTACATATTGAACCATAACAACAAATGTTTGAATTTGTTGTTTATAATTTAAGACCTGACATGTTTGACAAATATCTCTAAATTTCAAAAACATTGTGACAGGCATAGTTTTTATAATAAAAATGTTAAGTTTTATTGAATGGCAATTCAAGAAATGCTGTTCTCACCAACACACTGAAGAAGTTGGGTCCACATTCCACTAACACATGTAAATTGATCTGTGTCCAATCAATATAAATGTTTCTCTGCACTTGAACTCCACTGAAGCTCCATGGTGATAGGGAGGGGCAGAAGACTCAACAACATAGCCATAATCAAGTCCAGGTATATCGCCACACGTACTGCCCTCTGTGAAAAATGCAAAAAAAAAAAAAAAAGTTTATATTTAAAATAGAATTTATGTGGTTATATGCATATAAACAAAAAGTGTTGATTTAATCAAGTTTGAATGTTCAT